CCAGAAGGCCAGTCACAGAAATAAACATCCAGGGTTTGTTTTTATAGAGGTATTTTAAACGCACACAAGCCCAGACCGGGCCTCGTCTGCTAACGTTAGTGGATTACTCATTCTTCCTTCCAACCACGTCATGTGCGAGGTTCCAGGTGGCTGTGGGGTATTTGCTTACAAGGGCTACCGCTGGTTTCCCTGTGAGCTGTTTATTTTTCCAGGCCTCAGGTTATTACATCAGCCTGCGGTTTCCAGGCGGGCCAACGGTGCTGGCTTGGGAATGGGGGATCCAGCCAGGAGGTGCAGTTGCCTCAATGACCTCAAGTCCTAATCATAGCAGCCATCCCGGCAGGAACTTCCTGGGTGAGGGAGGAGAAGCCAAATGTGGCCAAGGGGCCTGTAGCAGGCCTAGGTGAGCAACGCTCTGATGCTGGCAGGTAAGGGCGGGATGCTGTGGACAGTTTACCTGTGACGTGCATGGTAACTTGGGCAAATGGAGATTCATGTATGAGGAGACTGGGGGACGGCTCATTTTTACGGCAAAACTTGTAAAAAATGCATTTCCACCTTGTGTCCCCACTGGTGGCTCCATCTCTGGGGAGCAGAGCTCCCCTGAGCTGCTCTCTTCATTGATGCACAGAAGGGAGCTCCGCTGGTCAAAGACAAGGGCAGAAAGACATGGTCCTTTTGCATTTAATTCACAGGGCCAGGTTCTAGGGCCTTCTTGAAGAACCTAATCAGATCATGAAAGACATTAACTAGAAAAGGCAGGGATAAAGGAAAGAACAAGATGTGGAAGAAGATGGGAAAATCAAATCACTGCACTAGAGGTTACAAGAGTCAACTTAGCCCCCCTGGGATGGAGGGAAATGGTCCGTGGGCCTTGGGAGCATTACCATGCGCACAAAGAGAGGAGTTAAGGCTCACACGACCATATTTCCTGAGAGACTGCACTTTTCCAGTGAGAAAGCACAGAATTTTGTCTTACAGAAACAAAAAGGCATAAATCACAGCTGTAGGAAACTGTCTGCATATAGTCAAATTAGAAGCAGTGGGAAATGGAATGGAAAATTAGATAAAGCCGAATTCTTGTCTTTATTTAATCTTTTCACCCTCTTTTATAAAATGCAGATGGTTAAGAAAATATTTTAAAGACTAGGTATATTAAGAAATTCCTTGGTAGTCAACCCCTGATATGAAAAACCCAGCAAGAGTTCATATTTCCTTATAAAAGCAGACCAGAGGCTCTGGCCAACACCCATCTATGAGAAGACGTTGCTCTTGAGTGCTAAGGAGTTAGCTGGCCAGGTACATCATCTTTCTGACTGCAAAAAGAATTCCTGGCATGATGGAGGTGCAATGGAGGTGAGAAAGAGAAAACCAGAAGCAAGTCTGTCTAGCTGAATATGCCCAGTACTCAAAAGGCAACACTGACCACAGTGAACACACGATACAGCCTTAAAAACAAAGACCAAAACTTCCAGGAGGAGAGGAGACTGGTTAAGTTTGCAGGCATATGTGTCGTGTTATTGCAAAACCTCAGCTGCCCAGTGGAACCCTTCCAACATCAACAGTCCCCAGGCCAGAAAACGAACCTGGCGTCACAGGGTCTGAGTGTGAAAAAAGGATGTTTGGGGTGTAAAAGAAACTGGGATAGTCTCTTTGCCACTGAGAGACAGCTGGGAAGAAGAGCTCTCACCCTGACCAGCTTTGCACAGTCCTACTACAACTTTCCTATGGTGTGGGCTGTGGCCCACCTGAACCCAGAATCTTTCATCAAATGCTCATGGAAACTGTCTCATGTGACTGAGACCTAAAGGCCTCAGTCCTCACCAAGCAGCTGCCCAGACATGCGCTATCACTAAAGTATATCTGACTTCTCATTAAACCAAACATAATAACATGTGAAAAGTAGCTAGCACCATACATAAAGATATTCCATCAAGAGTAGCTGCTGTTTTGTTGCCTTTTTAAATCATTTATGGTGCACCTACTATGCTCCAGGTGTTATATATGTGTTGTTAAATGTGCACAAAAACCCTGAAAAGCACTAATAACTTTGTTTTACATCTAAAGAAATCCAGACTTCGGGAAGGAAGTTAACTAACTTTCCCAAACTCACCATGCCTCTCAGTGGGAAGCTAGCATCAGAAGCCAGGCTTTCAGATCTGTCTGAGACCAAAGCCCATGATTTTGCCATTACATAGTGCTGTGGTTTGAATGTCCCCTCCAAAACTCATGTTGAAATTCAATTGCCATTTGTGATAGCATTAAGAGGTGGATTGATTAATGCTGTTCGGGAGTGGGTTAGCTATTGTGGGAGTAGGCTCCTGATAAAAGGATGAGTTTGTCCTAATTTCCTCTGTCTAAAATGCTCACTTGCCCTTCTGCCATGGTATGACAGAGCAAGAAGGCCCTCACCAGATGCAGCCCCTCCATCTCGGACTTCCCAGCCTCCAGAACCATGAGTCTAATAAACTTCTCTTCTTTCTGAATTACCCAGTGTGTGGTATTTTTTCATAGCAGCAGAAAATGCAGTAAGATACATGGTTTATCTCTACTAAATGCAAAAGATTCACCCCCTGCCTACAAAAGCCAAACCACAGGATGCTTCTTTGACAACCCATCTGTGAGAGCATTCACCAGAACAGGATGTTAAAGCTTGCAAAATGCTCATGTGAGATGGTGAAAAGCTTTGTGAGCTGACTCAGGAATCCTTTGCTGAGGCAGGCTCACCTGGGAACATCAGGAAACAGCCCCTTCTTCTGCTTGGTCCATGAGAGTGGCCAAAAAGCTTGAGTAAGACATCCCTATACACACACTCCCATTCAAATGCTTCTATATCCACCATGTATGCCAGGGGCCACCAAACTATTTCCGTAAAGGATAAGATGGCAAATATTTTAGGCTTTGTAGGCCATACGGGCTCTGCCACAACTATTCAACTCTACTCTTGTAGACAAACATAACCACAGACAATACACAAATAAATGGGTGTGGCTGTGTTCCAATAAAACTTTATTTGCAAAGACAGGCAGGTGGCTGTTTGCCAACCCCTGCTATATGCCTTTGTGGCAGCATGTCTTTTGCATATAATTACATCAAAAAGATTGATAGGTGCTCAGTCAGTATTACCAGATGATCATGATGGAGAAAGTCCCAGTTTATCAGTAGATTCCTAGGTTATCAATCCCTAACAATTATCCCTGGTTTCAGTTTCTCCCAGAGAGCCATTAATTCTCCACCAACTTTCCTGTCCTAAACATTAACCTTACAGACACAGCTGGGGCCAACCAGGGAGAAATAAAGGTGGCTGGGTCACTCCAGCAAAAGGAAGGTGGTTGTACCTGCCTGGAAATCATTTCTCAACATGGCCTTATACTCAACCAATTGGAAACTATATAATGAAAGTAGGAATGGAAAGCAGAAGAACTTGAGTGGAAGCAAAGATTATCATCTGACTTGACATCACCACTTTACTATGTTCAGAGAATACAGCCCAAGAAGGGAGGCATTCTTTTCCCAAGGATAACTAGTTTTCTCTAGTCAAACCACTTACTAGCTGTGACCCAGGACAAGTTATTTCCCCTCTCTTGGCCTCTGACTCTTCATCTGTAAAATGGGGACAATGACAATAGTTACAGGGTTGTGGCAAAGTTCAAATGAGATGATAAATGTAAAGCTCCACAAGACCTGACACAGACTAGCTACTACAATGTGCTATTCTAATTTTACCGGTAATGACAACGATGGTCTTTCTCCTCCATCCTTCCCCAAAGCAATCAAGCACATATTGAGATTTCATAACAGATGTAACAGATAGGCCATAAAGCCCTCGCGCTCACAGGGTTTATAACCTAGGTAGAGCAATTACACACGGTAGATGAGAAAGGAATTCATGGAAGCAACTGCTAAATGCCAAGAGAGTGTTTCAGGCAAAAGGAGCTGTAGAATTCAGAGCGCTCACCCTCATACCTACCACTTGGTCACAATAAGAATTAACCCTCTCATTGGAGCCTTGCAGACTGTCCAGGGTTTCGGGGACTAGGGACACCATTTGCAAATGTTACTTCTAACATTGGGTACTACAGGAACCAAAACCACTTCTCTTTGTTTTATCACATTTGCCTAACAGCGAGGGGAGAGTAAAGGAAGGTCCTAAGAGGAAGCCTGTCTAATAGATGTCTTTGCTTAGGGTGACAAATCATAAATTCTTCCCTGATTGAAGAATTCTCACGATAAGCACTATTATTAATATTCTCATTATTCCTACCACTAATGATGATAATAATAAATATATGTACTTACAATATTTATCATACATTTACTACTGATCACTCAGCCAGGCATCAGTTAAGTACCAAAAAGACATTAACTTAGTTAACTGTGAACTACAGTCCTTGGAGGAAGAGATCATGATCCTGTTTTACAGATGAGAACTGAGGTCCAGGGGGATTATTTGACTTGACTGGGGTCACTCACTAAGTGCTGGAGCCAGAATGTGAACCCAGGTTTTGTTGATACCAAAGCCTGTGCTTTAACCACTATACCATTCTGTCAAAGACTCTGGCCCAAGGAGGTTCACATGGTCTCTGTCCACCCCCCCACCCCATACCTCCAGCTTTCATCAAACAGTGAACAGACACATGGAGAGGTACTGACCAGTCCAAGCCATGGTCATCTCTTGGTCTAAATCATTCCTTGCACTCTAGCCCCACGCTGCCCCCTGTAGGACAGAGCTGGCACACAGATCAACCTAAAGGTCATTAATGGTCATTTAAAACGGTGCCTGCCGGTTCAAAGGCATGTATGTATCTTTTGTTCATGGTCCTTGCCACTTATAAGGAAAAGATGATGTGGCTAAATTCAACAACCAGGCATAAATTATGCAGGGTGGTATCTCTCACAATGAAGTCTTGGGCTGAAAGAAAGATGGTCCTCCTTGACAGAGATACAGATTTGGTTTATTCCTGTTGATGACATCTAGTCTTTACTGATGCTAAATGAACTTTATTGAATTTGGTCTTTATTGATGGCAAATAAACTCTACAAATAAATCCTACAAATATTATCAGTCTTCAAAAATTACCACCTTTCTACAAGTGCCAAAACCTGACCACTCAAAGACCCCCAAAAGATCAGACTAGAAGATATGACGGTAAGCAGCTATTTACAGTCTTCAAAACACACAGAACCATGTCTCTCGACACTTGAAGTCCAACTTCTTTATGCCCAGCCATTCTTCTTTCAAGTTCTTCTGCAAGGCATATAGAAAGTCAATCAAAATACTAAAAGAGATGGTCAAAAATGTTTTAGCTAAAAGGATCAACTACTCATGAAAAATAATCCCTGAAATGATAATTGAAGAAAGTTAAAGCTGGAAGGGATTAACTCATCCAATCTCCTTATTTTATAGCTGTAGAAATTGAAGATCAGGCAGATTAGATGACTCACCCAAACCCACACAGTAGGTAGACATGTAGCAACCCCGGGGCAGCCAGGGATGGACTGCGTACATGCAGAATCATTTACCTGAATTCCTCACGTTCGTATTATTCAGTTTGGAGTCCTTGATTACCAAGTGCTTAATCCATAGAGTGGGAGCTGTGATCTCTGGGGAAAAAAAATGAGAGAAAAAGTCTGGGCAAAGAAAGCATGTGACTTGGAGTGTAACCCCAAACTTTTTAATACCTTTTTTTAAAAAGCCTGAGGCATTGACCTTCAGCTGTCTCCCTCATCCCATATTCACCTTGTCCCAAAGTCCTCTCCCTCCCTCACAATGGAAGCTCCTCTCCCCACCGGCTCATAAGAGTCAAGCAGGGCATCCTGTGCTGGGAGGCAGAGTGGTCAGCCCAGAGGCACTGAGCCACTCCATCCAGGAATGAAAATATTATCCCAGGAGGTGAGGAACATGGACCAAGCCAAGTCCCTCTCGGCTGCTTCCTTAGGAGAAGATTTAAAGGGGATAAATCAACAAACAAATGCCAAGCAAACCACAGAGACCATTTTAGAAAAAACTTGCTGAGACTCTGCTCTACATGGGAAAGAAAATAATGGGTCTAATATGTGCTTCTATCCCCTTCCTAATGGTTTCTCCTGAACAGAGGCTGAATCACTCAATCCAGAGAGCTCCAAGATGCCCCCAGGCTCTCCAAGACTTGGGTTACTGTGTAGGTGGGTGCTGTGGGAATCCCAGATGACCCTAAACATACTGTGGAGTGAAAAGATCTTCAGTGAGGGTGTTGGGAAGGTCTCTCAAGATGACATGGTCTCCATTCCCCACCTGATCCCCATGGGTCCCAAACATTCCAATGATCCAGGACCTCTGTGGGTCATGGAAACACTTGAACTTTTAGGTATGAACGTACAAGTACATACGTTCCACTAAATGAACCAGTTGCAAAGGATGTCTCGCATTTCAATCTTTCTCCGCAGGGCTGAGCCTGTGCTAGGGACATCCCTAGCCACAGTACCAACCAGTGGCATAGTTTCTTTTTATTCCTCTGTTGCCCTGTCCAGTCTCATGATCCAGGCTTGGATACACTCAGCTGAGAGCTGCTACAAGTTTGCCACATGTTGCACTGAAAACCAAACCTCGTTGTCAGACTTTCTAGACACCTCACTCTGCCAAACTTCCTGCTCCTCTTCATGGGAATCTGGAGTCCTCAGTAAAGTACACTGAAGAAAACAGACCCTGAGCAGCTCCATCGTGAACTGAGGACAGCCCTCTGCACCCCATGCTTCTCTGTCCACCCCCCATACCTCCAGGGTCTTCCAGCCTCTATCATGCCACCAGCCACACTAATTCTCTTGACCTAGAATTCCTCCTCTCCCAAATGTCTTGACTCAACTCTCAAAATCCCTATAACCTAGCCAAGCCAGCCCCACTAACCAATCTCTTTCCTGCTATTTCTTTATTGTATTCCGTCTCTACCACATCCCCTCCTCATTCATGCCGGGAATGCCGATTCCTCCCTTCCACTTTCAAGACCCAGTTCAAGTGCTATCTCTTCACAGCTTTTCCCAGACCATGTGATCTCTTTCTTCCCTAAATGTCCATTACAATAAAAATCGAGACCATACAATTTGACCCATAAAGTTTTCTGATAGTTGCTGCTGTCTGGAAAGCAAAAGGTCCCGTCTGTGTAACCTTTTCATCCCCAGAGGGCCTCACGCAATGCTAGGCACAGAGCAGGCACTGTGAGTGCTGCCTGATCTGCTGGAGGGACACTGCCAGCCTGACTGTCTTGCTCAGCCATGAGTCTTTGGTGTTGGCAGCTCAAAGGGTCTGCCCAGGCTGCATCATTGTTGGACATCAGGAGACAGGCAGGAAGCCTGGAGAGAACAGGGGGCCTCTCCAGAAGTAGAGAGTGGACCACTTCCTTGGAGGATTTGCATTTTTTTAAAAGGTGAAAATGACCCATCTATTGAAACAACACACTGCACCCCACAAAAATAAATAGAAATAAAATTGAAAAAACAAACAAAAAAATGGGACCCATGGAAGGTATAAAAAGAGAAAAAAAACCTCACTTCAGTGGCTAATAAATGTGGGTGCGTTAACAGTGTACACACATTAGACCATCTACAGCCAACTGGGAGGATATGTATGTGTGTACTAGTTTAAATGTAAAATGCAATATTTCCTTGGGGTAGTAGACAAAACAGCTTATTAGCCACTGGTTTAGAAGAAAATGGACTAGTTATTACCTCTCTGCTTCTGCCTGTTTTATTATATCTGGTTGGGCACCAGGTGGCTTATTCTGTAGAGTGTCTTACAGCCTATTAAATTCTAAAAGTGAAATAGAAGTAGAATGCAATAAATATTTTATGGTATGGGTTCTTCAAAGCTATTCTGTACCCTTGACTTTTATAAGAATAGTACTTTCTTTTTTTTTTTTTTGTCCTTTTTGAGACCGGCCACACTGCGCTCAGCCAGTGAGCGCACCGGTCATCCCTATATAGGATCCGAACCCGCGGCGGGAGCACTGCTGCGCTCCCAGCGCCGCACTCTCCCGAGTGCGCCACGGGCTTGGCCTATCAGGAGAGTTCTTATGCAGCAAGTCATGCTCTTCTGGCAAAGTATGTTTTTGCCTTTCTCATGAAATACATTGAGAGCAGGACTCTTGTTTTACCTATTTCTATATTTTTCCAACTTTAAATAAAGTGGAAATTTTAATACTTAAAAAAAACAGCTTAAAGTGAGAAACATTAAAATAAAAAAAGTAAATAATAATAATAAAGCTTAATCAAACATCCAAAGTTAAGACCTTTGCCAATCCTGAAAATGGGTGGGCGAATGAGTCGGAAGTAATGCAAGAGCTTACCATCTCCATCGAACACTGGCTGAGTCTCCATCGTGGGTGTTGGCTTAGACCCGTCATCTGAATTGAGGGTTAAAAAGAATCGAAAAGAGACTACCATTATTGAGGTAAATACTATCTACTCTCCAGCACTGTTGAATGGTTGGGGTTTGCACATGGCCCGGCCAAGTCCCAGTGAAGAGACCGAAGAAAAGGAAAAGAACAAGAAGGAAAAGAGAACCAAAGAGAGAAACCAACAGGAAAAGCAGCTAAGGTTTTCCAGCCGTCAATACCAATATGACTGTGCCAGCCCTCGTTCCTCCCCCCAGGGGTACCTCCCCAGCAGCCCTGAGTTTTGGCCACTCATGCTAGGATAATGTCGGCACCCCAATCGCATGGAATCTGGTATCCCCAGTTCCTTTCCTGCCCTCTTGGGAAAGGAATCTTTTCCTAGTGCTGCTGATTAAAGAGCTTAAGAAAAACAAGAGACGTGGGTGCCAGTCTCTTTCAACCTCCTAGCTGTTTCTCGATCCTCACCTAAAAAAAGAAAGAAAATAGGAAGGACCATTCTTCCTCCAGCACACTGAACTGAAGAGAATCAGGAATCCTTAGAACATTTTAAACCGTGAAACAGCATGCACCCCGATTCCCAGTAAGAGGTGGAGGCAAACAGCATGGGAGAAGACATGGGAAACTGCAGAAATCACCCTAGACTTGCTTTGAGATTTCTAACATAGATGATGGGAGCAGGGAGCTCCCAGGGACAAAGTCCTGATACTTATCATTCTAGTGGTACTGGCAGCTCTCTCTGCAGACCAAGAACCTCTGCAGGCCGGAAGCTAGTGCAGACTTTATTTATCTTCCAGGACTCTGAATTATGTTCATCAAGGTTTCCCCAAAGTCCTTAGCTTAGAGCAGTATTTCTCAACCTTTTTCCATCATTGCCCATCTAAGGAGCATTTTTAGGCAGTTTTTTCCTAACCACCTCCCTAATGAAATTTTAATAACATAGATAAACTGTATGTCTATTCATGTGCTATATATATATTTATGATTTATATGTAAAAAGACTAGGTTTTTTACATCCCCACTTCCCCCAGAAAACAATTTCACCCCCTTAGTGAAGGCTGGGAGCAGGTATCTTTGTCTCTGTTGAGAATAGCTTGGAGATTTCTCTGCTTCTTCCCTCAGTGAGGGAGGAAAGGAGAGCACTGTTGTCTCAGACAGTTTAATCATTAGGCCCTCCCTCTCTTCCCAAGACCACCCAGAGGTCTTGTAGAATGGGACACTATATTCTCTGAGCATTAACTATTTATGGAGAACGCAAGTTCTCAGACAGTCTCTGTGACGCCAGTCAGATCTTCAATAATAACAACCCTCCACCATTTGGAGTTCCCAGTATTTTTGGCCGACTTCCCTGCATCTTATCAGGGGAGGGAGAGAGAACACAGGGTCCTGATCTCTTTCCTGCATCAACATTGGGATCACCCTTGGGATCCTGAGATTTGAGAACTACAGAGACCCTATCCCTTGCTGGAGGCTGAGGCCAGGAACCTGACAGTCATGTGACATCTGTCCCTGCTATTATTCTATGTGCTGACACCAAGACCCAACTTTCACAGGGGCCAATGCGATCCCGAACTGTCTGACAATGATCCCAACGAATGAGATGTGGCAGAGAGAGAGAGGAGTGACTATGCTGGATATCTTATTTGCCTTAAACTGGAGTCCAAAACAGGCATCTTTTGATGCCAAACTGTGTGAGTTTGATCTGGAAGTCATTGAGGGAGAATAAACACAGAACAGAGCCACACAATGTCATTTTTCTTAATAGCATCACTTCCCTTGACTCTATTAACACCTCTTTCCATTGAATTCAACAAGCACTGAGTGAAGACTTTGGCAGCTGCAATGCACAGCTGGTTGCTCCTGCCGGATGCATAGTTCACAGTCTAAACGGCCAGCACAGTGTGCCCAGGCCCTCCACCCAGGGTGGCTTCACTTGACGAGCCTTACAGACTAACAAAGGGAAAGCAAGGAGTCAGACATTCCAAGGCACAACAGAGAGAACCCACGCGCAGAATGGCTCACACAATATTTTAATATTCATCATAGACATTAAAATCCTCCCATATTACAAGAGTTGTACCTCTCTCTAAAGCAGGATAACTGAAAACATTCTCTTTACTTCTCCCATCATCCAGAGGATGGTCTGGAACTGCCCTTCTGGTCCAGCCATTGGCAAAGGAGGTCCATGCTCAAGGACAGCGATGAGGACTTCCAGTCTCCCGGGATGTTTTGCACTTGTGCAGATCGAGGACTTCTACAGATTGCCCAGACACAGGCACAGAAGCCCACGGAGCATGAAGCCACATGCAGGGAGTGAATCTTCCTGCAGGGAGGGTCACCAAGGGTGAAAAGATACAGCTGCTCTGCCACAAGGGAGGCCCTAGACAGAAATCTTTATGAAGTGAGAAAAGACAAGGTGCCCTGCTGCCAGGAGCCACCTGTGAAATCCAACATGCCCAAAGGCTGGGAAGCCAAGCCAAAGCCAACAGGACCCTCTAACCATCATCTCCGGGCACCTGGGCACCTGGCTTCCTACCCAGCAAATAAGCATGCCTTTCTACCAAACACAGGTCCAAGGCCTGGGGCCAAGTTCCACATCAGTTCTGCTTCTGGGCACATCTTGGAGGGACACCAGGCCCCACACTGGGTCCTGGGGCAGAGGTGGGGAGAGTGGGGTGGGAAGGAGAGTAAAATGTCTACATGTGCCCCTGGCCTCCCAGTCTCAAGTGTGGTCACACTCCAACCCCTGATTTACATCCAACAATTTGGGCAACCTGAACCCCTCCCTTTACTTCTCTGGACAGCAACATCCTTTTCTAAAAATGAAGGATACCTGCCTACCAAGCCTTGGGACACTGTGTAGGTTTTAAAAAATGTTAAAGGCCTATTAAAGGGGGTATATAATTCCATGGGTGCCAAACATCTTATTAAACTACATACTTTTAGAATTGTATTTACAAAATTAAAATCCTACCAAAGTTTTTAAATTAAAAATAAGGTAAACTATATAACTCAATAAAATGACAAACAACCTTATTTTAAAGTGGGCAAAATATTTTAATCGACATTTCAGCAAAGAAGATACACAAATGGCTAATAAATACACGAGAAGATGCTCAACATCATTAGCCATTAGGAAAGTACAAATTAAAACCATAATGAGGTACCACTAAACATCCACTAGAATGGCTAAAACAAGAAAGCTAGACAATACCAAGTGTTGACAAGGACATGGAGAAACTGGAATCTTTGTTCATTGTTGGTGTGAATGTACAATTGGGCAGCCACTTTGGAAAAGAGTTTGGCAGTTTCTTTAAAAAGCTAAACATAAAATTAGCCATTCAACCCAAAAATTCCACTCCTAGGGATCTATCCAAGAGAAATGAAAACATGTTCACACAGACATGTACACAAATATTCATTGCATTATTCACAACAGCCTCAAAATGGAAACAATCCAAATATATGTCAACTGGTGAATGGATAAATTGTGATATATCTGTATAATGGGATACAATTCAGCAATTAAAAGAAATGGATAACTAACACCTGTGAAAATATAGATGAAGAACCTCAAAAACATGCTAAATGAAAGCAGCCAGATGCAAATACTACATATTGTCTGATTCCATTGTATGAAATGTCTAGTAGAGGTGAATCTATAGTAATAGAGATCAGATCTGCAGTTATCTAGGGCTGAGGCTGGGAGTGGGGTATAACTGTAAATGGGCTCCAGGTTTCTTCTTGGGGTGATGAAATGTTCTCTGGTGATGGTTGTACAACTCTATAAATTTACTAAATTCATTGGATTGTACATTTACAAGGAGTGAATTTTATAATATGTAAATTATACTTCAATAAAGCTGTTAAAACAAAAGGGGCCGAGTGCCACAGTCATCACAGATAAATTATCAGGCAGCAGCAGCGAGATTATTTGAGCAATCCATAATTTGGGGGAAGACTCTTCCATAAATTTTATAGAAAGTTAGATCTGAATCTCAATTTACATAAATGTATGTGATGATTTTATGCCTGATGCTTATTCTTGGTGATTCTTTTGGATGTCAAATACTAAGACTTTTGGGCCAGCCCGGTGGTGCACTGCTACAGTGCGCCGCTTGGGAGCATGGCGGCGCTCCCGCCGAGGGTTCGGATCCCACATACAGACCGGTTCCCGCTCACTGGCTGAGCGAGGTGCGGGTGCAACACCGAGGGTTGCGATCCCGTTGCCGGTCCTGGTCTGGTACGGGCGCAACACTGAGGGTTGCGATCCGTTGCCAGACACGAAAAAAGACAAAAAGGAAAAAAAAACAAAAACAAATACTAAGACTTTCTTTCTCTTTAATACCATAATACTCTTCCAGACTAAGGGAAAGAAGCTAGAGAACAGAAAAAAAGCCCCTTCAAAGACTATCATTTTTCTTACAGGGAGGGAGAAAAGTAAATGTAGAAACATTAAAACAAATAAATAAGGCAAACCTTAGAGAACTTCTCAAGGACAATATCAACATCACCAGTGAGAAGAGTGTATTACATTTTGCAACACTGTTTCTGGCAGGTGGCTTTCCTTGTCTATTCTCTCCACCAGCCAGGGTGGAGGAAGTCACAGGCAGATAAAAGAGAATTGAATCTCAATGCAAGAGATTTGCTGAAGGCCACAGAGGCAGTGAGCAGCTTTGGAAACTGCCCAGACCCAGAGCCATGGCGTTTGGCCATCCAAGACTTGCAACCCCCAACCATGCCTGCTCCTTGCAGGTGCAGCCCTGGGAAGCTGCAGCCCCCGAATGGGCTCTGTGAGCCCATACAGACAGTGGGTCTGTGTGACAGCACAATTCCTTGCCCTGAGCGAAGGCCTGGCCCACTCATAGACAGCTGGAAGTCACTTCGACCCCCGATGACACCGTTCAAAGCCTGCTCTGTTTGGCTTTTTGATTCCTGATTGACATTCGCTGGCGAGGGGAGATAAATGCCAGGCTGAGGACAATGCTGATCCGCTCTGACTATTCTCAGGGAAAGACTTTTCAGAATAACAAACAAAACAAAACAAAACCCCAAAAACATTGGTGTGCTTAAGGGACTGAATAGAGCCCAAGAGGTCCAAGGAAGCAGGGCCAGTCCTTTCAAGGGGCTGGCAAGTCCATTGAGGAGTTAATTGTTTAGGTGTACAATGAGTTTATTCTGACCACATACAAAGAGCTTTCTCTTCCAGGTCCTTCAAAAGCAAATGTGTCAAAGCAGCCAGAGTAGGAATCTGTATTAATGGCATCTCTTGGGGCTTCTGACACTGAGGAGCCTTGGAGAATGGGGAAAAAAGAAAAAACCACCCCATCCTGAGATTTGGAAGGTCTCTCAACAATCCCAAGTCCCCTTCAATTCTTGCACTCTTCCCAAACCATGTCCATCACTGGTGATCCTCCCTTATTTTCTTTTAGGCTGCCATTCCCTATCTTTTTAAAACACAAGGAGATAAACTTCAGCCTGGTAGAAGTGCTGGAAGATTACTGCTTTTGAAGGGACTATATTTGTGCCAGAGCCACCATGGCCTACAGCATGTGACTCAGGGGCCCAGTGTGGAAGTCAGGATGACTTATTCTGGGCATCATAAGGAATCCACTGCACCTGTTTGCAAAACTCCCTAAAGAACCTAGCCTGAATCATACCAGGAGGAGGGTGGGATGTTAGTTAACCTCAGCATTTCCTGAGATGCACACCCTGCCACCACCACAGCTCAGAAGTGGACTGTGAACGATCACTATTCTGACCTGTGAGAGCAGGAGTGACCTGGGCAGGTCCTTTCCAAAGCAAGAGGTCAGTGTTTTACATTCTGCTTACCCGCCTGCAAGCTCCTGCCCAAAAGAAGTGAAGACACGCTTAAAGCTGTCTTTCTGCAAGCAGTTCCCTACATCCTTAAGCTCTGCATTTCCCTGAATAAGAGCAAAAACCTGAGGCTGGTGAAAAAGGTAGACCAGGGATTGAAGAGGAGGAGGAGGGAGAACCAGCAACAGCAGAATTGGTTCAGCGCTGGATTCATGCAAAAGACTGTGCGATTTTTTTAAACTTTTTATTTTGAAATGATTATAAATTCACAGGAAGTTGCAAAAATAATACAGAGAGGTCTCACGTATCGTCACCCTGTTTCCCCCAATGGTAACATCTTTATAGTTAACCTAATTACATAGGTAAACTATAATTACATAGGTAACATAACTATAGTACAAAAATCAAAACCAGGAAATTGATATTGGTAGAATCCATGGACCTTACTCAGATTCCACCAGTCTTACATGCACACATTTGCGTGTGTGTAGTTCTATGTCATTTTCTCCATGTGTAGATTCATGTAACCACCAGCATGGTCAATACAGAACTATTCCATCACCACGACCATCTCCCTGTGCTGCCCTTTATAGTCATACCTGCCCTTCTCCACCCCCTCCCGCACACCTGGCAACCACCGATCTGTTCTCCATCTCTACAATTTTGTCATTTCTAGAATGTTATATAAATGAGGTCATGCAGTATATGCCCTTTTGAAATTGGCCTTTTTCACTTTGCATAATGCCCTTGCAATCCATTCAAGCTGTTGTCGCATAGGTCAGCAACAGTTTGTTCCTTTTTTATCGCTGAATATTTGTCCATGGTATGGATGTACCAGTTTGTTTCACCCACTGAAGGACAGCTGCGCTGTTTCTATATTTTCATTTCTCTGAAATAATTGCTCGGGACTGCAACTGCTGGATTACACAGTAAGTATATGTTTAGTTTTTAAAGAGACTTCCAAAGTATTTGTCAGAGTGGCTGAGCCATTCTACATTCCCACCAGCAATGTATGGGAGATCCGGTTTCTCTGTGGCCTCACCGGCATTTGGTATTTTCACTATTTTTTATTTTCTAATTGGTGTGTGGCGATATCTTACCATGGTCTTAATTTGCATTTCCTGTGGGTAATGATGCTGAACCTCTTTTTGTGTGCTCATTTGCTCTCTGTATATCTTCTTTGGTAAAATGTCTATTCATGGATTTTGCCCATTTTTTTAATTGAACTGTTTTTTAACTGTCGGGTTTTAAGAGTTCTTTACATATTCTAGATGCAAGTCCTATGTTAAACATGTGGTTTGTAAATATTTTCTCCCAATCTGTAGTTTTTTCATTATCTTAACAGAATTTTTTGCAGAGCAAGTTTTTAATTTTTTATTTTATTTTATTTTTTTAGAGAATCAAGTATTTTCTTTTTTTAAAGACAATGTAATTTTATTAATATTATTTTTTTAATTCTAGGATGTGGTTGCAGAGCAGTTGAGAGGGAGGGGGAGAGGGGAAGGGGAAGGAAATGTGATGGAAGGAGGAGGATGGAGGAGGAAGGGTGGGATTGAGGCCTGTGGCACCCCCCACATTCCCCCAGGGGAGACTGGGGTGCTTCCAGCCATGCCTTGGTCATTGCCAGGCTGGGTGCAGATGTCAGGGGGGGTGTGGCAAAAGCCCTCACTCCCCACCACCCCAACTCGGGAACCCAGGGCTCTTCTTGCTGTGGCTTGGTGGTTGTCATTGGGGTGGTTGCACATGTCAGGGAGGCATGGCTGAGGTCCTTGGCCCCCCACCACCCCAGCTCAGGAGAACGCGGATGCTTCCTGCAGCAGCTCGGTGGTTGCCACTGAGTTTTTAATTTTTTAAATTGTGTGTGTGTGTGTGTTTATTTTGGGATCATGTTTTTGCTGATGATTTTCTCCTATGTTTTCTTCTAAAAGTCTTAATAGCTTTACATTTTACATTTAAGTATATGATGTATTTTGAATTAATTTTTGTACAAGATGTGAGGTTTAGGTTGAGGTTTGGGGTTTTATTTATTGGTTTTGTTTGTTTGTTAGGCGTATGGAGGTCCAATTGCTACACCACCGTTTGTTGAAGGGACTGCCCTACCTCCACTGAATTGCTTTGCACCTTCGTCAAAGATCAGTTGGCCATGCTCGTGTGGGTCTGTTTCTGCGTTATCTGTTCTGTTCCATTGACATATGCCTCTATCATTCTGCCAGTATCACACTGTCTTGATGACTACTATAGCTTTATGTCTTAAAATGAGATAAAATGATTCCTCTCTATTTTTCTTCTTAAAAATAGTTCTAGCTATTCTAGTTACAATGCCTTTCCAAAGAACTCTGAGAATAAGCAGATTTGAATCTCACATCTTTCTTTCTACAGGCACAGAACTGGTGCAATGGGACCTGAGACAATTCCTCTGCCTTTACTCTAGCAGCTGCACAACCCTCAAAGCTGGAGATGAGTCAGAAGCACCCCCAAGTCCTGTCCTGTCTACCCACGTGCCCATATCCCTGCCTTTCTCCAGCTTGCTGGGCAACATCTGAAACTGAGCTCACACAGGCCAGGAACAGCAAGCAAACAAACATATTCTCATCAGCCTGACAAGCTCTGAGCCCTCTCACCTGGACTTCAGGGACCCCCACAAAAATACCTCCCCCTTCACCCCACCGGAGGCTGAGAATTTCCCTCATGGGCAATGAAGGCCAGGCCCAGCGCGACTCTGTGTTCAGTCATCCTGGAAGCTCTTCAAATTACCCACAGTAATTAGCATCAAGACCCCGAAAAGAGGCACCTTGGGAAAACCCACAGGCCTTGGCACAGCCAGGTAAAGCGCTCAGGTAAGCTGATGATCTCAAAATATTTTGCTTCCCAGGCTCCCCTTCAGACCACTTCAGTGAAAACCAAAAATTAATCTCTGTGTCTCCACTTCTGCAGGCTGCCCGTGTTCTAGCAGCAGGTTTTCAGAGCTACAGGGGCTCCTCTTCCTCTCTTCAGATATTCCTCTGCAGCATTGCTAAAGCGAGCGCACGTGTGCATCACCCCAACACACTCCCCTGCATCTCTCTTCAAGGGCTAGGACCAGAGGAGAAGGTGAGGAGGCCTCCAGGATGGGACTGCCCCAGATCAATGGATATTTGAAACCCAACACACATGGCCCAGGGCCCACACTGCACGTGTTAATTACCACACATGTGCCCATAAAGGAGTCAGTTAAACACAAGGGGCCCAAAGAACAGAGCAAGGAAAGGACATTCCAAGGGATTAAATAAATAGTCTGAAGTTCTGACCCTCCTGCCTCCTGGAGCACGTGCATCTGGGTAAGATAACAGAGCCTCGCTCCCCCTCCCTCCCCCTCCCCCCACTTCTTCCCTCGGGCCCCACACCTGCAGACCCAGGAGCGCAGCCGCCCAGGACTCCCCAGCCTCTCTCCCTCCTCCCTGCCTCCTGCTATCTCTCTGGGCCTCCTCCCCCAGCCTCCTTTCGCTCTCCTGCAGGCAATCAGACTCTCTGTGGCTGCACAATACGCCCTTTCATTCCCTCGGGGCAGAGAGAACCGATCCCTCCCAGCCTTGTCAGTGGAGCACATTCAAAAGGCAAGAGGGCAGGGACAGACAAGGCTGGGGCTGGTCCTCGCCCTGCCACCCCCCACCACTCACAGCCCTGACCTCTGACCATACCCCTCACCCCACACCAGGTCCAGGCCTTGCATCTCTTAGTGGTGGGCCTCAGGGCTGCAGGCTCCAACTCTAAGAAGATGCCTTCTTGCAGAACCCACATGTGGCACGAGCTCAGACAAGGGGCCTTTGTGTCTTCGCACCTGCTGCCCTCCAGAGCACATTCCACTCTTAAGTGGCAGCTGAAAGAGGAACCTTGGCAGGTTGACACAGGATATTACGAATGCCCTCTCACACCCTGTCCCTATTCAAACCTCAGCTTCCTGGACAGGTGTGGCTTCAGGTGGCCCTTGCTACAGGTGGCCTGAACCTGCTCTTCACTGCACTGCCCATGTCAGACAAAGAGGAAAGGATACAGAACCTAATTTGATCCTGCAAAGTAGAGGGAAAGAGAGGCCACTAGGCAGAATCCAAGTCTCCAGGGAAGAGTGAGCACCCCCGCCCACCCAGCCTTGTCCTGACCTTTGCACCAAAAAGGAAGTCTCTGCAGAACCATTTGGGAGGAAGGAACCTATCCAGGGCAGGGGAGCAAAGAGCTAAGAACTGAGAGCAACTTATTCCTCTGAGAAGAGGCTTTGGATTCAACCCCCTGCATCACTCCCGGAGGAACCAGCTCCGCTGCCCTCTTTTAGCTCTGGTAGCTGACCCCAGAGCTAAAAAGGAACAAAGAGGGCTCACTGCTATCTATTGTAAACTGATGTCCCAGCCCACCTGCCCTCTTCGGGCTGGATCGGTGAGAGCCTGGGATGATCGCAGGTTTGTCTCATTGTTATCCACTGGGTGCAAAGACACGTCAACCTAGAAAGCACTTCTCTGTCCAGTTTAAGAGCTAAAATCTCATGAATGGCCTTTCTGATGTGTGTGCTTTATTCAGCATCAAACACTCAGCTCCCATTGGTGGGGAAAATCTGGGTGGTCAGTTTTGCATGATTGCCACTTCTTTATTTCCTACCACCACGACCTCATGCCCAGGAACAAAGGTGATGTTCCTGAAGATTTCAGTTGCAACAAGCAAAACTGAAGGGAGCGCCCTAGCTCCCTTTTTCAACCCCAATAGACATATACCATGCACAGTGTTGATGATTTCAGGTCTTTGCAGAGGTGGACTTTCATGTCCCTCTCCCCGCCTGGAAGGGAACCACCAACACTCATGGCTGTCTCTTCCTGCTCTGGGAAGAACCTGCAAAAGCACTTCCTTCTTTTTGCCTACTTTCTCATTCCTGCCCAGGGAAGAGGGGCAGCCCCTCTTGTCCACTGGTCCGTGTTTTCCAGTGGGTGGCGGTATCTGCATGTTGCATTTCCACATCTTCTTGGAGTACCTGCATTTGGAGGTAGCACGTTCTCCAGATTCCTGCATTCAGAGCAAGTGATGTCGCCTCTTCTTCCCATCCCCCTGGCATAAGCACCTGGGACAGGGTCCAGGACCTTGCCTTGGTCTCCCTATAACTGTACATGTAGGACAAGCCTGTGAACTTCACACTGACCCTCGACAGGCCCAACTCTCCACATAGACTCTTATGAGCACATCGTTCCCAAGGCCTAGATGCAGGTGGAAAGCCTCAACCTCAGCCCGAGATGCAAGTTCTGGAGTGGCTGTCCATGCAGTGGAACGGACACCTGCTTCCCAGTCAACTACCAGCTGTGTGTATGCTGTCCTGGAGCCCAGTAGCAGTGACTCTTAGGCCTCAAACTGTCTTCCACAGTGGAAATTATGGTCAGCATATCCCAGGTAACTTTTGCTCATGTTGGCTGGTCCACTAGACAGTACTCAGACAAATGGCAGCTACCTAGTTTGTGGGGCCCAGTATAAAATGAGAAGGCAGGGCCCTTTGTTCAAAAAGCAGGAAAAAGTGCCACCAAATGCACTAAAATATAAAGCTTTATCCTCTCTTCCATAGTCTCTCTCTCTCTCTTGACTTGTCATGTTGCTTTTTAACTTGCTATTTAATGTTCTAGGTGAAGAAAAATTAAAATTTTAAGCATGCTGTGGAAGCCACGTAGCACACATCACAAAAGGTATATGCTGATGGGATGACAAGGTTCAGCAGGAGACATGCATGTCACATGTATCTCCTTGGCTCATAGGTATGCTTCCTCATCCCAAGAGACACAAAGACAAAATTATTCAGAATTTCAGGATAACAACTGGACAGGCTGCCTGCCCATAAAGCCAGCCTGGACTTTGTGCAAAGAATACAGATATACTGGAATGATTATTAAGGAGAATCGGTGAAAGAAAAATTCTCAAATGGGTTTACAAAACAAGAGAGCCAAGGGCTGACTTGGGCACCCCCACCTCCATCATCTCTGGTTTATCGCTGGCTACACTGGTAATTGATGATTAAACTCCCCAGGGAACCAAGATTCCCAGGGCTGACAGCCCTGGGCTCTACATTTGCTCACTCCCTCAGAAATTCTGGGCGTGGTCTCTACCACCATATAAGCCTTACTTACCTCCAGTGCTTCTGGGAGGAAACACAGAATAAGAATGGAGAAGACTTCCGCAGGGCACTTTTAGCTTTCACCTCTTTTATATTGTCTGAGAACTCCTGCTTGGACCAGCTTTAGAAGCAAACATTTAGATAAAGCATAAAACTCCACTCACCTTTCCTTCCTGAGTTACCCTGGCTCAAGGGCTTGTCGGTGACCGAACCTTGGGTGAGAGGGGAAACAGAAACATAGCCATTCAGAGAGCATTGCGGTTGGTTTCTTTCAAAGAGTTGGCAAAGCGTGGAGTTATGAGCATGTGGCCATGTATATATGTACTGTATACACATCTCGAGATATTATATACAAAGTTAGGACATACATACATGCTGAACAGGGTTTGTTTAACATCAGTGTCACTGATAACCCAGCACTGTTGAGATGAACTGTGATTTCCAGGTTCCCTGGCAATGGTCTTGACCAGATTTTTATTAAAGTCCATATCCATATAACTCCCTTGTTGAACATTCCAATATCTGCCCCTCGCTTCCATCCCCCCCCATCTACCCCACTTCTCACCAACTCCATGTTCTGAGCCATATCCAGTCAGCAGAGCCAACTGAAAAGAAACCCCCTCTTACTGCAAATGCAATGATTGACATCCCTTGCTGGTTAGGGCAGGAAATCAACGATTTTCCATCTGCATTAAGTAGAAAATTGTTGGCCCAATTGTACTGAATGGGCCAAAGTAGTCTGAGGCATGGAAACAATTTTCTAGATACAGCCTGTTCCTCCAGGAGGGGCAGCATGTGTGTTTGGCCAAACACTTGCCCTGCGTATGCCGGGACGCCACGTGCACTCCATCCTCCAGTCCTGACCCTGTGGGACCTGTCTTCCTCAGGATGCCCAACCCCACACATGCAAGGCACAACCAGCTCATCCACAAAGGGTATCGAAAGAGAAGAAAGAATTCGTATTCTCCTAATCTATATCATACCCCTTCTCCATATACTAGTTTTGCGATAATTCAATTATATTACCTTGCATGGCTTGTTTCTAGTGCATTTGTTTGCTTTATATGAAACTTTCCAGGTCATTTGCAAGAAGGGCTAATTCCTGCCCCTCCCCACCCCAACCCCAATTAAGGTTTCCAGTTTCCATGTAAACCACAAATAAAGTAAACTTCCCTTTTTGGCCTGCAAATTTTGGTTTCCTGATGTAGATTCTTACTGCCCTTTCCACTTACTTTTCCCTTTACATAGCAGGGCCAGTAGAAAAATGAATAAGTTTCATTTTACAAAAAAAGGAAAAAGTTTTGATAGCAAGACTGCTAGCCCTTGGAATTTCCCATAGGTCTTAGCATGACATTTTATACTTTGCACTTAAAATTGAAAATAGTAAGTGAAACCCTATACATACAGACATGAAGCAGCTGATGGGTAGAATGGGCTTTTTTGAAAGAGGTCTTATCCACATAGTGAGTTAAGGGAGTAACTCATGAGTCCCTTCCCATCTGAACGGAGGTGGAAAGTGCGGGGCTTGTGTATATCCATTATCCACAATCCCATGAAACTGACCAAACAGCAAAATGTTTCTATGCTTATAAAGCTGGGAATAGAAAGGAGTTTGCTATGAACTAACCCAACAGATCACTGTAAACTGTCTAATCATCAGAAGTGCTTGAGAAGCTTGATAAAAATAAGGACTTCGGGTCTCACTCCAGACCGGATCAGAATACACAAGGAGGAATCTAACATTTGGGTTCTTTTTAATTGCCCAGGTATTGCTAATGATCAACCAGATTTAAGGGCCCCTGTTATGAAACTTTTCCATTACACTATATTACGTTGTCCAGGGGTAGCAAATATACAGCACATAGGCCACTGTTCTCCTCTCCTGTACCTGTGACAGACATCACTAATTGATCACCACAACCTTTAATGTTAAACTCCCATGTGGTCTTGAAATCCATCTCAGTAAAGCACTTCAAGGGCCACTAGCAATCACAATCAGCACGCAAGCTAAACATTATATGCCATCCCAGCTCTAGGAGTTAGAGCCGATGCTTAGATAAAGAGCATTGAACCAGAAACCTAGATTCAAAATAAATAAATATATACACATAGGCACACACTGACCCTCATCACCCAGTTGACTACCGAGTAAGCATGTTAGCATGGAATCCTCCCTGACCTGGAAGCGGGCTTATAACCACCACCGACCTTTCAAAGGTTCCCCCACAAGAGGCAGGCGACCAATCAAGGGGTCTCTTGCCAACCCTTTTCATTCTTCCCGCCCCTCCCTACGGTACCTGAACATACAGGAGTTTTATTCTGCACAGAAGAGCCACTGATGGGCTTCCCATCTGGGGTGACACACCAGCAGTACCCCGTGTAAGTATGGCACTGCACCTGTTCAGGGAAGCAGGAAGGGAAGAGAACCATGAGTCTTGGGTCACAATATCAAGAGTCATCTCCCACCCCTTTCAAATCACCATCCTTCCACCTCTCACCTGCACGTGTGTCTCCAAGTGCCTCTCAGAGGCGGATTGCAGTCAGGCAGCAGCTTGGATTACCTGCTTGCTATGTGACTCCCGGGCACAACCACATCAAGCTATCTGCTTCTTTCCTATGACTCTTATCACTTAGTGTTTGATACCATACTGAGACATGCCCAGTGTGTTTTTCCTGTGATGGATCCCACCAATACCTGTACACTTTTTTCCCTAAGCACTGTCATACACTCCCAACCAATTGTAAAAAAAAAGTGCTTTTTAAAAATGGTGAGCTTTTATTCGTATCTAGTTTTCCCAAGCATCTGTTCATGAATCAGCCTGCCTACCAATCACGTGGCTCTCCTGAGACAAGCGCACCCATGGTGGGGTTTAGGCAAGAGCAAAGTCAGTGGTGCCTGCACATCCCATTTCTAGATGCCCTGCTGCCGCACTGTGTGGTCTTCCTCAAGCCTCCACGGCAGGTCATCTGTCTGGGAATAGTAAATGAAAACGAGGCCTTTTGCATCCTTCAGGGTGTGTCTTCTTTCTCTTCCAACAGCTGTCACACTACCCACCTCCTCCCATCCCACCTCACTATCCTCTTCCCATCTGCTTTCTATACAGAGTTCCTAAACACGCAGCAAGGCAGTCTCCCCTGCTTAAAACCCCTCGATGCTCCGCCTTTGGGCTCAGGGTAGAGATTAAGCTCATTTGCATGGCGCTCACTGGAGGTCCTCCATGTCTGCCCCTACCCAGCCCCACCGCCCGACTTTACACCCATATCTCCACATACACCTTTCACTATGGCCACAATGAACCCGTGGATGCTCTACAACAGTTTCTCATGTTTCTGAACCTTTGTTTGCTTCAGTTACTCAACTTGTCTGGAATACCATTCCCCAACCCATCCCCACCCACTCTTGATTCCTCTGTATGCCCATCCTCCTTCCTGATCCACCTTGTCCTCAGAGTATCCCAGCCTCCCCACCCACCTTGTTCAGATCCTCCACACACCCTGAGTTCCCCAGATTCAGAAGCCTTGTGACAGTGGGCTCCAGATGCTGCTTCGTCTAGTCCATCTCCCCCCAAGACTGTGACCTCGAGGACTGCATACTAGTTATTTTTACATTCCCAGCATCTAGCATAATGCCTGACATTTATTGTAGGCAGTTGATAGGTTGAATAAAGGCCTGAATTACCATATTCCCTCAATTCTTGGTCTCCATCAATTCTAAAAATGCAGTATCAATTTAAACAGCCCCACCACATTAAATGTAGACCCCAATTTTAAGATATGTGCCAACTGCAAAGACATTAAAGTGTGAAAAAATGTGCCTCCTGGAATCAAGGACACATAGGAATCACAGCTAAACAGTAAGTGCATATAAATTGAGTGCAGAGGTATAGAAGAATACCGAGTGAGAAGAGAGATCTGACAGTCTGGGTGAAATCCAAAAGTTATCTCTAAGGCAAAAAGCTACAGAAAGATTTCTGCTCTTGCGTGGGTACCAAACACCATTAATTTCCCCAAAGACAAGTTGTTTCACTACAGACCTACCTACAGAAATCAGGATAAGATGAGATAGAAGGGCCTTTATTCCTACCAGTAACATGAGTGCTGCATAAACGAGGCATTCACCTCTACTGTCTACACAAGGACACGCATTCGAGGCCTCTACCCCAGCACCACATTCCACTACTGCTTCATACCATGGCCTTGGCTGCTACCCCAGATGCCCCCCACAATCAATATCTTGGGTTGGGCTGGCACTACCTTCTGAGGAGGACTGAAGGTGGAATGGGAAGAAATCCAGGCAGACCTGGGTTTGAGCAAGTTATGAACTAGGCATGTTACTTAGCTTGGAGCCCTGTCTGTAAAATAGGAATAATGATGTCAACCCCGAGGCTCTGATGACCAAGCCCGGTGCCTGGCTGGTGGGGAAGGCTGGATGCAGAGTGGCTACAGCAGTGATTGCTCTCGACTATGGCAGAAACACCTGGCAAGCCGGCCCCTCACAGGCTAGAGCTCCTCCAGTAACCTCCGGAGGGTGGGAAATGCTGCTGGAAACTTGGAGTTGACCCCCTTGGATTCCATCCTGCCAGGGATGTTTCCCAGAGAAGACTCCTTGCCAATGGCAGCATTTTAATGGGGGCTGGCTGTCTGATTTCTCCTCCTTGGACAATAATCACCTCTGAAGAAACCTGTCCGAGGCTCTGAGCAGCCACGCTGACTCACTCCTGGACCCCTGGGCTCCTGTGGCCAAAGCAGCCTTCTCTCTCCAAGAGGACTGTGCCTCTGGCCCCATTCTGCACTGCTGAAGCTGGGCACTGTGGTCAAGCAGGCTGCAGAGAAGGAGGTGAGCTGAAAGCCCCCTCTCCTGGGGTATGCACAGAGCGCCAGTTAACACTGCTGAGGACTGAGCTAAATGCATGACTTAGAGGCTAAGCCCAAAGCTTTATTTCAGGGGATATAATCTGACCTCTTGGCTCGGAGGGTCCCCAGTGCTGCATTCTCACTGAGTGCACCAATTGTATCCCCACAAGCACATGGACACTGCCTCCCAGCCCTGAGCCAGGCCCACAGGCCCAAACACAGCTCCTTTCTCCTCAGGGCCGTCAGCATTTTCCTCAATCCAGGCTGCAAAGAACAGACCCCAGATTACAAAATCCTCAGGGTGGGAGCTCCTTCCAAGTCCTATAAAAGTGAAATTGGCTGAGGAATTATTGCCACGTTCGTCTGAGGCCTGGGGTACATAGTAACAGGCACACCTGTCCCAGGTGTGCTGCAGGGGAGAAAGTAGCTGTAAGCAAAAGAAGGCGTGGAAGACCCAAGCAGGGCCTCAGACTGTAGGAACTGCGTGAGCAGAGCAAAATCCTTTTGTTGAAGGAGCCCCAAGCAAATCAGCCTATGGTTCTCAGCTGAGAGGTTGTTTTTAAGTAGTTTTAGAGAGTTTTCAAGATGTCTTCTTGCAGAAAAAGAGGTTATGTGGAGGCAGCCTGCAGCCTGCCTGCTTGGCTCCACTGCTTAACTCCTTCTGCAGCCTTGGAAAGCTTAATCAAACCAAGCCTCAGATTGTCTGCATCTATTTAAAAAGGGGAAGATAATAAAATGATATCTATTTCAGTCGTTGGGAGAATTAAACTTAAAAATGTAAATAAAGCACATAGTTCACAGGGTAAGTGCCCAATTAACCTTAGCTATTTATTTTTATTATCTTTGTGTTATTTTTTAGCAAACTATTTGTACACTCAAAAAGGCCAGAAGGAAGGGCAGTCTGAAATCAGCAAAAAGTTTGGAAAAGTTTGGGTGGAGGAAGAAGTTCGTTTTCGTATAGAAATAGTTCTATTACTCTCCAAGGACAGAAATAAGACTTCTTGCAGAAAAGCAATCAGGGTGTAAATTGTACAGAACTGATGGCTTACATACACAATCATGATATAAATTCTACCTGGTTTAGCATCTTCCCTTGCAAACTTAGGTCTTTTAAATTAATTAGTAATACCCTTTGTTTCCCCTGGGAGCCTCAGATTAGTCAACTGAGACTTAATCTATGGGAAAAGGCTGGGCCAAGAGGAGTTGATGAGACAGTTGGCCATTTCTAACCTCTTGCTGCACAGTTCTTAAAACTCAGGGTTGTTCTTGCCCCAAACGTACAGATGCAAACCATGGAATTGCATCTACACCACTCTGGAACATCCTCGGAAGGCTGAAGTATCCACTGAAGGTCTTCCTTAAGGAACAAAAAGTGTTGCACATAAACCTAAGTGAGGTTACTATCTGCTTACAGCAGTTCCCCTTATCCTCGGTTTTGCTTTCCAGTTTCACTTACCTGCTGTCAACCACAGTCCGAAAATGTTAAATGGAAAATTCCAGAAATAAACAATTCATAAGTTTTAAATTGTGCACCATTCTCAGTAGCGTGATGAAATCTCGCGCCATCCAGCTCTGTCCCACCCCAGACATGAATCATCCCTTTGTCCAGCATATCCACGCTGTGTGCGCTACCCACCCGTTAGTCACTTAGTGGCCGTGATCAGATCAACTGTCTCGGTATTGCAGTGATTGTTTTCGAGTAACTCCTGTTTTACTTAATTGTTCTATTTATTATTGTTGTTGTTACTCTTACTGTGACTCTTTTATAAATTAAACTTTATCATAGGTACGTGTTTATTGGAAAAAAACATAGTATGTATAGGGTTAAGTACTATCGGCAGTTTCAGGCATCCATGGGGGGGTCTTAGAATGTACCTCCCTCGGATAAGAGGGGACTACTGCGTATTGTAACTATACTGTTGATAAAACTGGTGTTCCTAAAAATACTTTAAAACAATGTGTTCTTAAGTAAATTCCATCTCTGATCCATATACTTTAATATTCTTGGCAAAAAGCCCTTTACGTAAACAGCTCAGTGGTATATTTCAGGTCAACCTCCATACAAATTGAGACAAATCTGAAACCATTTTAAGCCTGCTAATCTCCAACATTAGCCCAACTCCTGGACCCCTGGAAGAATGCGGGAGGCAAGCACGCCCAAAAGACAACGGAGCGACTAATGATGGGAGGGAAGCAGAGAGAGTATCAGCTCACCGGGGATAGCAGATCGCAGAGTGGGTGGGCAGAAAGCAGCATGAAAACAGAGGGCCTGTCACCACAGCGCCATGCACAAAATGTAAAATACCACTTCCTACTGTCCATGATCTATGCATTACCTCATTTGGGCCTCAAAGTCACACTGTGTGCAAGTCCTTTATAGGAGTGGCACAAGAACGGAGGTTATTTGTTCAAATGTCACAGCTAGTTAATAACAACACAAATGACAATATATGAGAGTACTTCAAAAAGTTCATGGAAAGATTCGCATTATCTTTCAGTCTATTTTTCCATGAATTCTTTGAAGGACCCTCGCGTTGCATCCT